TTGGCGGGTGGGTGGCAGGGGCAACCTTCATCACTAGCTCTCATTTTACACACACACACTCTTGACGGTCATCTCATGGTCAAATAGGTCCCCAAAGATCTAATCGGACCCCAAAACTAACCAGCTGGAAGCAACTTGGGTATGGGATCCAGTTCCTGAGTGGTAGGTGGTTCGGTCTCTATATGACCTGTAATCTTTTGACCCCATCTCAATTACCATCACACATTACATTACCATTGCTCTCCTCTTAACACAAAGACGAATTGGGTTGTTTATAACTCAAACTACCTTAAATATTTTTTTTTAAAACTGTGTGTTGGTTGGAAACCCACTCAGAGGCACAGGTTAATTAATGCTGCGGTTGTCACTCAGTGTTTCTGGTATGAACCTAAGTGATGCGTGTTATTCCTGTAACCATTTTGTACTGGGTAGTTATGGAGTCCGTTCCTGTACTCTGAGTAGCTATAGAGTCCGTCCGTCTGATAAGTCATATGAGTGCTTGGTGATGATTAAGGGCGCATTATTAGTCCGTCTGTACTCAGGGTGACTTAATAGCCTTGTTTATGGGGTGATTAGTACAGGACATCGTAAGTTGTTTGGTTTAGATGGTGATGGGGAGAGGAAGTTAGGGAGGAAGGAGCGATGAGGGGAGGAAGTTAGGGAGGGAAAGGCGATGGGGAGGAAGTTAGGGGGAGGAAAGGCGATGGGGAGAGGAAGTTAGGGGAGGAAAGAGCGATGGGGAGAGGAAGTTGGGGAGGAAAGAGCGATGGGGAGAGGGAAGTTGGGGAGGAAAGGGCGATGGGGAGAGGAAGTTAGGGAGAAAGAGCGATGGGAGAGGGAAGTTGGGGAGGAAAGAGCGATGGGGAGGAAGTTAGGGGAGGAAAGAGCGATGAGGGGGAGGAAGTTGGGGAGGAAGAGCGATGGGGAGAGGAGTTAGGGGAGGAAAGAGCGATGGGGAGAGGAAGTTAGGGAGGAAAGGCGATGGGGAGAGGAAGTTAGGGGAGGAAAAGAGCGATGGGGAGAGGAGTTGGGGGGAGGGGAAAGAGCGATGAGGGGGAGGGAAGTTAGGGGAGGAAAAGGCGATGGGGAGAGGAAGTTAGGGGAGGAGGAAAGAGCGATGGGGGGGGAGGGAAGTGGGGAGGAAAGAGCGATGGGGGAGAGGAAGTTGGGGAGGAAGAGCGATGGGAGAGGAAGTTGGGGAGGAAAGAGCGATGGGGAGAGGGAAGTTAGGGAGGAAAAGAAGTGGGGAGGGTTAGGGGAGGAAGAGCGATGGGGAGGGGAAGTTGGGGAGGAAGGTGGGGGAGGGAGTTGGGGAGGAAAGGCGATTAGGGGAGGAAAGAGCGATGAGGAGAGGATTAGGGGAGGAAAGAGGATGGGGAGAGGAAGTGGAGGAAGAGGATGGGGAGAGGAGTTAGGGGAGGAAGAGCGATGGGGGGAGGAAAGAGCGATGGGGGAGAGGAAGTTGGGGAGAAAGGCGATGGGGAGAGGAAGTTGGGGAGGAAAGAGCGATGGGGAGGGAAGTTAGGGAGGGAAAGAGCGATGGGGAGGGAAGTTAGGGGGAGGAAAGAGCGATGGGGGAGAGGGAAGTTAGGGGAGGAAAGAGCGATGGGAGAGGAAGTTGGGGAGGAAAGAGGCGATGGGAGAGAAGTTGGGAGAAAGAGCGATGGGAGAGGAAGTGGGGGAAAGGCGTGGGGAGAGGATTAGGGGAGAAAGGCGATGGGGGAGAGGAAGTTAGGGGGGGAAAGAGCGATGGGGAGATTGGGGAGGAAAGAGCGATGGGGAGGAAAGAGCGATGGGGAGAGGAAGTTGGGGAGGAAAGAGCGATGGGAGAGGAAGTTAGGGGAGGGAAAGAGCGATGGGGAGAGGAAGTTAGGGAGGAAAGAGCGATGGGGAGAGAGGCATGTCTTATCATGTGCACTTCGTCTATAATGGAAGTGTGTTTACGGTTGTCGATATGTAACCTACCCTGACCTAACCTGACCTGCACACGCTGACACACTGACCTAACCTGACCTGACCTAACCTGATTTAACCTAACACAGCCTAACACATTTACCTAACCCAACTTAACTAACCTGACCTACTAACCTGATTTAACCTAACTGACTTGCAACACAACTTAACCTACCTAACACACTTAGAAGTGGAGTCAAAATAGGTTGGATTAGGTCAGAATAGGTTGGATTAGGTCCGAATAGATTGGATTAGGTCAGAATAGGTTAGGTTAGGTCAGAATAGATTGGGTTAGGCCAGAATAGGTTAGTTTGGGGATCTGTTTTGCTTGTCATCATTTCGAAAGCTTGGTTATTGCGACACAAATCTGACACAACGACGCCTGGCTGTCAGTCTGTGTGTGGAGAAGCCAAATTGTATTCGTCACTCACGCGTCCCTCAACAGTTCTCGGAGTAATGTTTCTCATTGTCTCTCAACAGTCCCGAGTAATGTTTCTCATCGTCACTCACGCGTCCCTCAGCAGTTCCCGGAGTAATGTTTCTCATCGTCACTCACGCGTCACTCACAGTTCCCGGAGTAATGTTTCCCAATAGCAGTGAAATAAGTAGAAAAACACGCCATTGAATATTATCCATAGTTATTACTAAATAATATAGCGAAATACTATTGCCATACGACACACCTCACAGAATACAACGAAGATTAACGATAATATTACATTACATCGAATGGCTGTGTTAATTCCTCTTCACTAGTGTGTTTTAGCGACTCTCGTTTGGTTTTTGTGCAGTGTGGCAATCTTGTGTTTCTTACTGACTGATGTAAAAAAAGCGATAGTAAACACCTATTTGGTGTGTTTATATAGAGGCCTGTAAACGCACTAGTGAAGGGGAGTGCTATGGGTTCCTCAGTGCTATTAATGGTTAGGTTAGGTAATCCAGTAAGGGTAATGTGGGTGGAGAGGTGATTCCTGGCGTATGGTCTAGTTAGTGTGGGCGTAGTGGTGTGTTGGGTGTGGGCGTAGTGGTGTGTTGGTGGTGTGGGGGTAGTGGTGTGGGGTAGTGATGTGTTGGTGTGGGGTAGTGGTGGTGTGTTGGTGTGGGGATAGTGGTGTGTTGGTGTGGGCGTAGTGGTGTTGGTATGGGCGTAAGATTAGGGCTCTCCCTTTATTTACCCGTAGATTAGCCATCGAAATGTTAACTAATCTAATCTAATTCAGCCTATCATAAAGTAACAAAACTAACCTAACCTGACTAACAAATACTCAACCTAATTTAAGCGGAAAGTTTGACAACCAACAGGGAGACAAGAGTCGCAGTGTTCGTTGAAACTCATGATCACTCTGAGTACAGATGGTTTTGATGGCGTGACTGTACTGTACACGATGGGGCTTGTATTGTAATAATAATAATAATAATTATTAACGGTTTATTGAAAACTGGCAGCCAGAAGGCTGAAAATATACAGTTACATATTTGGGGAATGGAGTTTACATTTTAAATAATATACAAGTAACATAAGTGACACAAATAAGACATATATAACTAGATGGGGAAAAGCTCAAACACAGTTCATTTCAACATAGTGACAGTGTAAGGAGCAGTGTTTGCAGGTGAATACACTGATTTATTACAAGTTATTGATAATCTTTACAATGGTTGGGACTGGGCTGTTCTTATAGCGATCAGTTCGTGCACGTATGGGCTGGATGCGGTTGTGGTGTCGAACAGCAATTCTCCGGACAAGGGATCTCAGGTGGTAGTAGGAGCCGGTGTCGGGGATGGTGTAGAAGCTTCTTACCAAATTTGCAGATGAGGTCGTGGTGATGGTCAGTGAGAGTCGAAAGGGTCCGTGTGTTGAGCGCTTCTTGATATGTGGGTAGGAAGGAGAATAATCTTGCATGCCCTCTTTTGCACTTTTCTGAGCGTTTACGTTGTGTGGCATTTAAGGAAGACCAGGTGGGGGCATAGGTGAGCTTGGGAAATGAATGTTGTAACACTGAGGAGCTCGTGTGTGTGTGTGTGTGTGTTATTTTGGAGATGATTTCTTTATCTTTTTCCACACAGGTTTATGTTGCTTTAATATTTGTACAACTTTACGTGAGTCGTGTTTGTGTTATGTTAGTTACAGTAGTGTGTAGTTGTGACCTTGTGTATTTATGGGTTATGGTGGTGTGTGTATATTGTGGTTTAGGTATACAGAACACAGGGTTGTGGTTGTGAATTATGCATCATGTCTCATTAGTTGTGGTTGTGAATTATGCATCATGTCTCATTAGTTGTGGTTGTGAATTACGCATCATGTCTCATTAGTTGTGGTTGTGAATTATGCATCATGTCTCATTAGTTGTGGTTGTGAATTATGCATCATGTCTCATTAGTTGTGGTTGTGAATTATGCATCATGTCTCATTAGTTGTGGTTGTGAATTATGCATCATGTCTCATTAGTTGTGGTTGTGAATTATGCATCATGTCTCATTAGTTGTGGTTGTGAATTATGCATCATGTCTCATTAGTTGTCTCATTAGTTGTGGTTGTGATGCATCATGTCTCATTAGTTGTGTGGTTATGCATCATGTCTCATTAGTTGTGGTTGTGAATTATGCATCATGTCTCATTAGTTGTGGTTGTGAATTATGCATCATGTCTCATTAGTTGTGGTTGTGAATTATGCATCATGTCTCATTTAGTTGTGGTTGTGAATTATGCATCATGTCTCATTAGTTGTGGTTGTGAATTATGCATCATGTCTCATTAGTTGTGGTTGTGAATTATGCATCATGTCTCATTAGTTGTGGTTGGGAATTATGCATCATGTCTCATTAGTTGTGGTTGTGAATTACGCATCATGTCTCATTAGTTGTGGTTGTGAATTATGCATCATGCCTCATTAGTTGTGGTTGTGAATTATGCATCATGTCTCATTAGTTGTGGTTGTGAATTATGCATCATGTCTCATTAGTTGTGGTTGTGAATTATGCATCATGTCTCATTAGTTGTGGTTGTGAATTATGCATCATGTCTCATTAGTTGTGGTTGTGTTGCAGGTATGGCCCCGTGCAGAGCGTCAAGATGCTGCCAGGGGGCGGCGTGGGTGGCGAGGAGGGCGGCCCGGGCATGTGTGCCACTGTGGCCTTTGTGGACATTTGCGCTGCGGCCAAGGCACACAAAGCAGACAATCGGCTGGAGGATCGTTGCCTCAAGACCACTTACCACGAGGCGTCCCTCTCTGCCCTCTCCTCGCCCCAGTACACCCCGCCCATACACCTGCACCGCGAGCCGCCCACTCACCCTTACACGCCCACACCACCGCCTGCGCCCAACCCCAACAACCCTGTACTAGCCGCCCGCAGCCCAAGGTTCTCTTCTGGGTAAGTACTACTCATTCACCTGTACAGTCTTCAACAATACCTTTACCAACAGGTGTCCATAATTACTACCTGTCATTTGTATCTCTTGAATTATTATGTATCTGTAGAGTTACTGTAGTGGACACCTTGTTGTGTGTCACGGGTCGCCAGTGCACACCTCACACAGTCCTTCCCGGTTCATGTCACGGCCGCCCCCACAACACTCACTGCTTAGAAAGAAGAAGTACGTATTTGAGTGCTGCCTCGTGTGTTATAGAGAGAGAACTATTATCCCACACGGCTGGCCACGGTGGATCACGGTTGTAACCCTCCCCACTTCCATCCCCCGAGCTGGCCGGCCCCAGTCCAGTGTGAAGCGCGACACTCACATCAAGATACAGTGTTAACAAGTGCTCAAAAGTGAAAAATGTGTGTGTGTGTGTGTGAAGTAAAGATGGTGTTAAGAAAGAACCTCAGTGGCTTGTGAATACCCATTGGAAGTGTCGTGTAAATAATAAAAAAAAATAAATAGTGGATAGAAATGTTAAATGGCGGTGCTTATTGCCATTTCTGTTAGGCGTCGATATAGAGGATTAAATTATGGATGTACCGTATCGTAGGATGAAGCAGCGCCCCGGGATCCTGGGATATACAGCAAGTAAAGGATTATGCCAAGACTCTCCTTCACCGTCCCGGGACACCTTACTCCAGCTGTCACTTTATTAACCAACTACCAGCGCTAGTGATGGTGTGTAGTGATCAGTTACAAGTGAAATGATTCTTTATTTATTTTTTATTTTTACCTACTGAAGCTTAATGGTGCAGTGTTCTCAAGTGGTACAGTGGCTAAATGTTGGTGCCCGCCTCTATAGCTGTGATGTATGTGCTTATGGTGTTGTGTATATAAATCTAGGTTAGTTATCACCATGGCCGGGAGATACGTGTGCTGGCCTGGCCAAGAAGACAATATACATCAACCGTGGTGGTCAGCCGTGTGGAAGTGTGCTTAACCCAGGATTAAGTCGGCAGTAAGCAAGATGCGGGATTACGGTGGTGGTGGTGGTGGTCAGATGTAAGGTAGGTCTCAGGATGGACTGTGGACACTGGCCTGCACTGGTGAACTGTGAACACCTTATATATATTATGTGTTTATATACTGTATCATGTATAATATATGTATGTGTGTTTATTCACCAATTTGGTCTTCACGAAAGGACTTTATTGGAAGGTGTCATGAAGAAGAAAACGATGTGGTTATTATTATTTTTTTTTACTACCAGTTGTACCGTTATAGAGAGATTAAAGAGAGTTTCTGTTCGTGTAAGATTTGTTGAATTAACTCTGGCGTGTGTGAGTGAAAGTGCTGTGAAATATTAGAACTTGACATGGGAAGTAACGGCAATGGTGTTGACGATTGGTTAGGGGTGGCAGATAACGCGGGCCCCCGTGTAGTCCTAATAGGCCCTCATGTAGTCCTAATAGGCCCTCATGTAGTCCTAATAGGCCCTCATGTAGTCCTAATAGGCCCTCATGTAGTCCTAATAGGCTAACCTAGAATACACAGGTTTGTAACTCCCAGGTTTATTGAGAGGTCTTCGTGTGTTTATTGGGGTAGGAAGTGGTCAAATGTACTAATTTTCATCTACACAACTTGTACTTTTTTCATTGTTTGTGTGTGTGTGTGTGTGTGTCACGGCCTTACACACACACACACACACACACACACAGAGTTTACATGTTGACAATATAGGGTAACAGGTAGTAATGGATAACTTACCTGTACACCTGCGCCAATTACTAATATATAAGTATACTAATTTACCTGGTTATAACAAAGACACGGGTATGATTATTACAGGTGTAGTACTAATGAATGAATCACCTGTTACGGCACACCTGACGAACCTCTACCCCAGCTTATTTCACCTGAAGCTTAGCTGACCATGGTAACTTAACCTAACCATCCCAGCTTATTTCACCTGAAGATAAGCTGACCATGGTAACTTAACCTAACCATCCCAGCTTATTTCACCTGAAGATTAGCTGACCATGATAACTTAACCTAACCATCCCAGCTTATTTCACCTGAAGATTAGCTGACCATGGTAACGTAACCTAACCATCCCAGCTTATTTCACCTGCAGATTAGCTGACCATGGTAACTTAACCTCACGCTAACATATCTTGTTTTAACCTAACTTAACATTTCATCTCCTCCAAAATTAGCGTAAAGGTGGTTAATTTTCAGGTGACTTAAGCTGGGGGGGTTAATTTTCAGTGACAGACGACAGTTAGGCTAAAACAAAGTGACTCTTTGATTAGATATATGTGACAGTTTTAGGTGTGTGAATATTTAACGAGCAAGGATATTGTTGTTGTTGTTGTTTTCGTCGTCATTGTTGTTGTTATTGTCATTTTGTTGTTGTTGTCATTTTTGTTGTTGTTTTCGTCGTCTTTGTTGTTGTTGTCGTCATTATTGTTTGTTGTCGTGTTGTTGTTGTTGTTGTCATTGTTTACCTTGTTACTGTATTTTAGTGGTTTACATAAAATCGGTTTTCATGAGAACTTATTTATCGTGGGTTGGGTGTGTGGGGTGGGGATGAGGGAGGTCTGATCCATCGGTTATCTTCTGGACACACCACCACCACCCTGCTCTCCTTCCGTCTCTTCCTCATACGTCCACCCTCCACACACACACACACTCTCTCTCTCTCTCTCTCTCTCTCTCTCTCTCTCTCTCTCTCTCTCTCTCTCTCTCTCTCTCTCTCTCTCTCTCTCTCTCTCTCTCTCTCTCTCTCTCTCTTCTCTCGTGGTGTTTTGGACCTGATGAACTTTTCTTCAAGTTTTTTCCTGAGTGTGTGTGTGTGTGTGTGTGTGTGTGTGTGTGTGTGTGTGTGTGTGTGTGTGTGTGTGTGTGTGTGTGTGTGTGTGTGTGCAACTCGAGGAGATGGCTGGTCACAGTGATGATCTGTTTTGGTCTGCCTGTCTCCTCTACAGCTACCAGCTCCTCCTCCTACATGTTACCAGCTCCTCCTCCAACATGTTACCAGCTCCTACATGTTACCCAGCTCCTACACAGCTCCTCCTACATGTTACAGCTCCTCCCACCATGTTACCAGCTCTCCTCCTACATGTTGGCTCCTCCTACATGTTACCAGCTCCTCCTACATGTTTGCTCCTCTACATGTTACCAGCTCCTCCAACATGTTACCAGCTCCTACATGTTGCCAGCTCTCCTGCATGTTGCAACATTCAGCATGTTACCAGCTCCTCATGTTACCAGCTCCTCCTACTGTTACCAGCTCCTCCTCCTACATGTTACCAGCTCCTCACCTACATTTACCAGCTCCTCCTCCTACATGTTACCAGCTCACCATGTTACCAGCTCTACATGTTGCTCCTCCTCCTACATGTTGCCCTTCCTCCTCTCCTCCCCATCCTTAGCTCCTCCTACATGTACAGCTCTCCCAGCTCCTCCTACATGTTACCAGCTCCTCCTGCATGTCCTCCCATGTTACCAGCTCCTCCTACATGTTACCAGCTCTCTCCATGTTACCAGGCTCCTCCTCCTGTTACCAGCTCCTCCTACATGTTGCTCCTCCTCCTACATGTTGCCAGCTCCTCCTACATGTTACCAGCTCCTCCTACATGTTAGCTCCTCCTACATGTTACCAGCTCCTCCACCATGTTACCCAGCTCCTCCTACATGTTACCAGCTCCTCCTCCTACATGTTACCAGCTCCTCCATGTTACCCAGCTCCTCCTCCTACATGTTGCAGCTCCTCTACATGTTACCAGCTCCTCCTCTACATGTTGCAGCTCCTCCTCCTACATGTTACAGCTCCTCCTCCACATGTTTACAGCTCCTCCTCTACATAGCTCCTCCTCCTACATGTTACCAGCTCCTCCTACATGTTCAGCTCCTCCCTACATGTTACCAGCTCACTCCTCCACCATGTTACCAGCTCCTCTCCTACATGTTACCGCTCCTCCTCCACATGTTACCAGCTCCTCCTCCTACATGTTACTGCTCCTCCTCCCCTACATGTTACCAGCTCTCCACATGTTGCAGCTCCTCACACATATATATCCTGCCATGTTACCCGGCTCCTCCTACATGTTGCCAGCTCCTCCTCCTACATGTTTACCAGCTCCTCCTCCTACATGTTGCCAGCTCCTCCTCTACATGTTACCAGCTCCTCTACATGTTACAGCTCCTCCTCCTACATGTTAGCTCCTCCTCACCATGTTACCAGCTCCTCCCCATGTTACCAGCTCCTCCTACATGTTACCAGCTCCCTCTCTACATGTTGCCAGCCTCCTGCAGTTGCAGCTCCCCCATGTTCCAGCTCACTCCTCCTACATGTTACCAGCTCCTCCTCCTACATGCTACCCCAGCTCCTACCCATGTTGCCAGCTCCTACATGTTACCAGCTCTCTACATGTGTCCCAGCTCCTCACCACATGTTACCAGCTCTCACCATGTTACCAGCTCTCCTCCATGTTTTGCATCTCTCCTAGCATCTCCTCCTACATGTTACCAGCTCTCCTCCTGCATGTTGCCAGCTCCTCCTCCTACATGTTACCAGCTCCTACATGTTACCAGCTCCTCCTCCCATGTTACCAGCTCTACTACAGGTTGCCAGCTCCTACAGGTTACCAGCTCACTCCCATGTTACCAGCTCCTACATGTTACAGCTCTTCTCCTACATTTCCTCCTCCTACATGTTACCAGCTCCTCCTCCTACATGTTACCAGCTCCTCCTACATGTTACCAGCTCCTCCCTACATGTTTACCAGCTCCTCCTCCTACATATTTACCCAGCTCCTCCTCCTACAGGTTACCAGCTCCTACATGTTCAGCTCCTCCTACATGTTACCAGCTCCTCTGCATGGCTCCTCCTCTACATGTACCAGCTCCTCCCTACATGTTACCAGCTCCTCCTCCTACATGTTGCCAGCTCCTCCTCCCTACATGTTACAGCTCCTCCTACATGTTGCTCCTCCCTACATGTTACCATCCCTCCTCCTACATGTTACCAGCTCCTCCTCTACATGTTACTGCCTCCTACATGTTAGCTCCTCCTCACCATGTTACCAGCTCCTCCTCCTACATGTTACCAGCTCCTCCCTACATGTTACTGCTCCTCCTACATGTTACCAGCTCCTCCTACATGTTGCTCCTCCTCCTACATGTTCCAGCTCCTCCCTACATGTTACCAGCTCCTCCTACAGTTGCGCTCACATGTTACCAGCTCCTCCCACATGTTACCAGCTCCTCCTACATGTTACCAGCTCCTCCTCTACATGTACTAGCTCCTCCTACATGTTACCAGCTCCTCCTCCTGCCTTCCGCTCCTCCTCCTACATGTTGCCAGCTCATCCTACATGTTTACCAGCTCCTCCTACATGTTGCCAGCTCCTCCTACCATGTTGCAGCTCCTCCTCCACCATGTTACCAGCTCCACTCCTCCTGCATGTTACCAGCTCCTCCTACAGGTTACCAGCTCCTCCTCCCACATGTTACCAGCTCACTCCTCCTACATGTTACAGCTCCTCCCAGCTCTCCTCCTACAGGTTACCTCCCTCCTCTCTCCTCCTGTCCTCCTCCTACATGTACCAGCTCCCTTACATGTACCAGCTCCCTCTCCCTACAGGTTGCTCCTCCTCCCACATGTTGCCAGCTCACTCATACTTGCTCTCCTCCTACATGCTCCTCCTACAGCCAGCTCACTCCTCCTACATGTTGCTCCTCCTACTCTCATGTTAGCTCTCTACAGTTGCTCCTCCATATTTTGGCTCATCACTCTACAGGTTGCCAGCTCCTCCCTACAGGTTTGCCGCTCCTCCTACATGTTCCCAGCTCCTCCTCCTACATAGCTCACTCCTCCTACAGGTTCTGCTCCTCCTCTGGTTACTCCTCCTCCTACATGTTTGCTCCTTTCTTTACCAGCTCTCCCCATGTTACTGCTCCTCCTCTACATGTTACCGCTCCTCCTACATGTTACAGCTCCTCCTCCCTACAGGTACTGCTCCTCCTCTACATATTTGCTCTCCTCTATGTACAACTCTCCCCTCTACATATTTACCAGCTCACCTCCTCTGTTGCTCCTCTACAGGTTACTGGCTCCCTTCCCATATTTAGCTTCTCACCATGTTAGCTGCTCCTACATGTGGTTACAGGTTGCTCTCCTCCCATGTTTCTCTGTCCTCTCTTTGTTGTCCTCCTCCTACATGTTACAGCTCTCACTCCCCCCAGGTTGCGGCTCACTCATCATACAGTTGCCATCACTCCTGCAGCTCATCATCTACATCAATCATCTCCTGGGTTCTTA